GGGACACCACCCGGGAACCGCGTCTGTCTGGCCAGGGGTGCATCCGTGCCCCCCCCCCGCATCGGGATGGCGTCATGCGACGGCGAACAAACCCCGTATTGAAGCGGAGAGGGGGGGAAAGCATCTGGGGAGGGCGAAGAGGGAGCGAGAAAGGCTTTAAAGAAGCCCGAAAAGTCATGGGACTTATTGGTATGCAACGGCCGTCCGTCCGTCCATCCGTCCGCCCCGGCAGCGGCACAGCTCAGCCCTCCCCCAAAAAACATGCCCTCGACCCCAGAAATTTTGGGGAAACCCCTAAGGAAAAGCCAAGCAGGGGATGGGGATGCGGTTTTTAATGCTCCGAATGCGTCCCCCTCCCCTCCCAAAAAAAAAAAAACCCCCCCCCCCCCGCGGCTCTTAATTGTTTCTTCTCCTTTTTCTAACCCAATCCCGAATTTTTTTTCGCCGAAAAATTTGGGGGTTAAGGAAGGGATTGTCAATGAATTCAAGAAATTTTAAGAATGTGTAAATTTTACAAGAGGAAATACATTTTATAAAGGTAAAGAGATCTGATGAAATGAAATCCCGGAAAGAAATGAAAGAAATTTGATAAAATGGAATCGATGAAATCAATGAAATCCATTTGATGGAATGAAAGAAATGAAATGAATGAAATAGATGAAATGAATGAAATAAATGTAATGAATGAAATAAATGAATGAAATAAATGAATTAAATTTGATAAAATGAAAGAAATGAGAGAAATGAAAGAAATGAAATAAAATTGAGTAGACGATATAAAATGAAAGAAATGAAAGAAATTTTATAAAATTAAATAAATTGAATAAATTAAAGGAATTAAAGAAAGTTTATAAAATGAAAGAAATGATATAAAATGAAATAAATGAAATAAATGAAACAAATTTCATAAAATGAAATAAAATTTTATAAAAGGAAATGAAATTTTAGAAAATGAAATGAAATTTTATAAAATGAAAGAAATGAAATAAATTTTATAAAATGAAACAAATGATATAAAATGAAATACATGAAAGAAATGAAATAAATTTTAGAAAATGAAATAAAATTTTATAAAATGAAATGAAATTTTAGAAAATGAAAGAAATGAAATAAATTTTATAAAATGAAA